CTTCGTTTGGACATGGCCTAGTATTCGTGGATATTTCAGCTTTGATAGAACTACAACTCGTGTGGCCATGTTGCACTTTCACCGGGAATAGATGCTGTTTGATTAATGTTGGACTGCTAGTGTGTCGATCCCGGCCTCTTCTCGAGGGAAAACCGGCAAGAGTAATCGTAATTTGCCGCCCCGCCGCGCACGGCGATGTGCGCGACCCGGACTTCATGTAGACCCCGTCATCGTAGACATTCATGTCTGTTTCCGGTTCTGAATTGCCTGTTTTCGCCATGCCTGTTGTCGCCATCTACTACCTGGAACCATCGTCATTTGCGGGCGCGACGTCGCACGCGACGCCCACCAGCGCGGCGAATTACGATTCTCTTGTCACATACCCCTTCTCGAGTACCCTCGCTGCAGAACGAGCTCATGGTCTTGTACCACTACGGTTGACTCCTGTACAATTACTCAATTCAGGTCTACTTTGTTGGACTAGCTATACTGGACGGAATCGTCGTGAACACTATCGTGTCTGCTTTCTACATAGCAATTTTCATCAGGTAATATACTTCCTAGCACTTGTCGAATACCGACGATTTATATGGCTTGACCCTCTCTTATGCAAGGATATACTTTCAGAGTCCAGACTCATATTCATGTTCGCAAACCAGGAGAATTAGCAATGCGATTGGCACTTTCCGGCTTTATCATCTTCATATCCTATTGCACTCTTGGGGTGAGTATCACAGATCGTTTGGTCATTATTAAAGGCTGAGTCCGCTTTCAAAAATGATGAGCTATGCGGCCCTCATATACTAATAACAAGACTAGCTAATATGATTCCTTAGTGCAAGAAAAAGCAGATAAAGAAAATTCATGGAAAATGTCCTACTTTACAACTAGTCAGGCCCGAATGAGAAAATGTCGACTGCGACATCAGGCGCAACGAAAGATCGTATAGTGTATAGTAAGTTCGTTGTTGTAGCAGACAAGTGACAATACCGTATCATATAGTCCTCATCATTACGGAATGTCGGGGCGGCACAGGCGCGCTGCTCTGCGGCGACGCGACATGCGCTGCGGCCCTCCGGTGAAGCGTGAATGCAGCTGATATCACAGCTGATGGAAATTCCGGACTGCCAAATTCCTAACATTAGGCTCTTCAAGTTTAATAAAAGAGGAGTGGTTATTCTAATATTCTAAAAACAATTCGAATTGTACAGGCTCTGGTTTCCTTTATTTTTATGCCGATTATGTGTTGCTTTTCCTTGTATTTTGCCTTATTTCAGGCATTTATTCAAATGGCTTGCATTCTTTCAGATTCATTCAGAGTCAGTACAATTTAAAATTGCTCAAATAACTCACCTTCCACTTTCGAAGCTCGAAGAGTTGAAAAGTGGGAATTCGCAGCCGAATTCCATGGAAATCAGCTGATTCGCCGTCACCGAGCCGCAGCCGCTGTCGCGTCACAGTGCAGCGCGGCTGTGCACGCCCCGACAGTCCGTAATGATGAGGACTGTATCCCTCGTATTACTCGTTTCTACCACTTTTTGTCGCGTGCGCGTTTCTACAAAAAGGCAGAGAACGGCTTTGACGGGGTGACACACTTATACTGCCTGACACGCCCAACCGTCCACAGCGAACTAGAGTGTATTTATAAATTGCTGGCGAAAAGAGGCCGTGAGCGGCACGAAACTTTTCTCCTTGTTTGGTATAAAGCCTTTCTCCTTATCACGTCACTCTCACCGTCCTGTGAGTGTAGAAATTAGTCACGGAACAAACCGTTCCCGTCAGGCAACCATTTAAAATAAAAGTTGGGCGTTGTGGCAGCCAGGTGGGCGGGGCGGCAATCGCAATGATCCCGTGTTATTGAGCTGCGAGATTGGTATATCCTCCCATACTTGTAGCGCGACAATATCCAGAAAGGGCGCAACGAACACTGATGAAAGCGGACTCTGCTCAACAAACAATAATTCTCCAACCGACTGAGCCTCTCCAGGCTTGGGAAACACAAAGCGAAAAGAAAATATATAGCCCAGGAAGTCACAAAGCGAAAAGAAAATATTGGCACTATTTCATCGCTATCTCATATCTATCTTCATAAAGTAACTAACATCAAAGTGTTTAGTCCTGCTACGGGGCCCAAACATACTAGTCTTGTCCGCTGCGGGTGCTGGAAACTAAAAATCAAAAATGAAAAGTACTCACGGAGAGCAACCCAGGTTTACGGTAGACTGACAATCTTCTGTATTGCAGATCTTCTCCGTTCTTGCCGCGATGACTCGTCCAGAAGACGCATGGATGTATCGTACGCTGTGGTTTGTCGTCAACGACGTTCTGTGTGCCAGCAATGCACCTATACTGCTGGCATTGAACAAACCTATCCGAAACGTATTCATGAAGAGAATCGGGATTTCACATGAAGGAACCCATGCAAAGGGGTCACTTATGAACAATATGTGACCACTAGGGCCACTTAAGCAACTTCTCAACGGGTTTGTGCAGCAAACAACTGCAATCGTGACTTGTCTCGAACTTTTTGGAACCGATAATATGACTGGGAGAGGTGCATTTTTCTTCTAACAAGTAGTTCAATATATGAGATTTATCTGATAAAAGGAGAAAAGCGTAGTGAAGGCGGCGCGGCCAACTCTGCTCGTCTGCGCTCTCTCGTTGAGATGATCCCTCCACGAAAGGCTCGACCTAGGAAGAGCGCAGACAACCAGAATCGCACGGTGTCTCCTCCCTCCAGCTACACTAGTGCACAAGAATGTGGCTCTTCCCGTTGACAAGGAATTTGTGTGCTGTACTGTAACACATCTATACATATTAACGCATCTGGTGCTAAATAATCATATC